TTGTCCAGGGTACCTATAATTGGTAATTAGTGACGCATTCTGGATGAAAGTCGTCCATGAACCTTATAGTGAATATTTAGTGACGTATGAGCATTCTTGTAGATTTCTATGTATCTTATATAATTGTCAGAAGGATTATGTTGACCAGTATAAAAAAGATATTGCCTCGTAAACAGTATCAGACTATAAACACAAAACTAAATGAACATATCTATTATTGGGTTTCAACAATGTTTTAGTCTATTTCTCCATAGAATATGTTTACATCATGTAAATCCTTTAAATATCATCATATGACGCTGAGAACCCTATTGAATAGGCATTATTCTTTACGGGAAACAATCTGTATTTGATTCTGTCGTGCTTATTTCTGCTTGGAACATTGTTGGAATGGTATTTACAATAGCATTAGCAATGACATGCAAGAAAAGACATCCACCTGCTTTATTCCTAGATATGTTTACTTGTCATTGCTTTATGACTCACTTTCTCAGATTAGTTATGAGACTTGTCACACATTTCTAAATCTTAAGAAACCAGTTTGCATTGCAACGCCAGCACACAAAACAAAATTTAAACCTACCATCGGTACGAAAAAAGAAAGAAAAAACCGAAAACCTCAACATTCGTTGAACTCACCGTCGGTACGAAAAGACCAAAAACCAGCAAACTCACCATCGTTACGAATAGACAAACAAATATGAAAATCCAGAAAACTCACCATAGGTACGAGAAGACAAAAAAAAAAAAAAACACAAAGAAATCTCAACATCGGTACGGAAAGGCAAAACAAAAAACTGAGAAGACTCCAAACCAAAAAGGAAGACTTTATGAACACCGCAAAAAGACAAATGCTTTATTATTTTTGTACAGTTTAGGCCTATTTTACAATGTTTTACAGCACACAGATAAAGTAGAAAAATATATTCCCCACAGTTTAGGCCTATTTAATGCAAATATCATGTAATTTTCTTTTCAAAATAGGTTGAAATTCATAAACGAAGTTAATTTTCATTGTTTTATGAAACGATTTGGTTTATTCCTAACTGTATTGTAGAAAATTTCGACATGTCCATGACAAAAACATGATATAAGCCCAGAACAACTGACCTCCGTGCCATTTTAATTTTAGATTAACGACATAGGAGATGGATCTAATAGGGACCGTTCCATTATCGCGTCTAATGTATTGAGGGTATTTGCACGTGTAGAAATGACATGAAGCTTCCCCAATGTCCACACTATCAATCTTCATTGTATATGTTCATTGTTATCACTATATCGATACAGAGAGCCATCTGCTAATCATTGCCTTTGCATACATTTCGCCGATTGTACACGTGGTTCCTATTATTAGCTCGAGTCATATCGTAACTTCACTAAAGGCAAGCTTTAGTAAGTATGTCTTCTTATTCATTTTCAGCCTTCAATTTCTAAAATAAATTAATTAGTAATAATCTTTTTATTAAATATGATAAAAGGCTAACTAATATTTGTTTATTTTCACACTATCAGAAAGGTCGTGATTTCGGTTTTCTGAATCAAGAAAATGTTGTGTTTGTTCATGTCTCATACTTATCCTTGTGACATCGTCAAAGTGGAAGACTTCGATGTGTGAACCTTTCAGACTATTAATAAGCGATACAAAGAATAAATACTAGATTGACAAAGCTATCGTTAAGTGATTCGATACATTACCCTATTCTTTTTGAAACGTCTCCCAAATGTTCCCGGATACAGATTATAATTCTATCGCCATTGGAGATAATATGGTGCTTTATCACATTCACCTTTATTCATTATACACATAAGAGTATCCGACGAGACTTGAACACTGACAGTCATAATTCATTAATGCTATTTTTTCAGAACCGTGTATATTTTAGATCGCCTGTTTATCAATTCACGGCGGAAAACGTTCCAAAAAAGAGCTCCGAAATTAATTTACTATTAGGCTCTCCTCCACAATCAATCAATTGTGTTATCTTTATAGCATTTTACATTTCCGTGAAAAATCCCTAGATATCAATTTTATTCGTCAATATCCCGTGGCGAGCGTCCATGTCTGCCCAGTATACTGTGCACGCCACATGTGTTCCGCCCTAGCAGACCGAACCTCTGTGTCCATCCTTATTCAATCTCACGCTTCAGTGACAGATATCAATCGTTAGGATATTTGTTTTGTTCTCATTTCGAAATGGCATGACAATTACATGAGATGGTGTGTTAAAAGTTTAATTGCAGAACGATTCTGGTCAATTTTAAACGAAGTGATTGCGTTGTACATGGTACTTTAAAAGCTGTTTATTCCCAAGGCTTAACGCTAAACTACACTTTCCAGATTTCCACTTTATTTTAGTAGATGTCATAAAATGTCTTCCTTTCCAATTATATGTTCACATATTATACTCTTGATATGCGTCTACTTATGCAGCAACACTGACTCCGGTAGAATTTAGTAAGAATAGCAGGTCAAATTTTCAAGATCACCTGTTTTTCGTCCGTTTTTTTATGTATCAATCTTCTTTGTTTTAGTTTCTCGTCAATACCTGTGTTCCCTTTCCTAATGAAATATGAGTTATAATTTGCCACATTATTTTGACCTTTTGGAATATTTCTTCCTATTATATAGTGTCTTTCTATCTTTCATCGCAAGCAAGCATTGTTACTCAACTAGCCAGGTCATGTTACAATCATCAAAAGCATCTAAACGATTTGAACTGGCTATATCTCTAAACAATAAGAATGAAGTTGACTGTTTATGTCAGGTTAATTTACGATATCCTTTGACATACTTTCTGCGAATATTTCAACATTGCTTAAATCGATAGCAATAGGCTAATCTCCTGCAGTCAAATATTATATATAAATACCTATATGGCATTGATTAGATAGTCACAAATACTGAAAAATAAAACCCATCAGCATAAGGTAAGAAATCAGAACTTTAGAAAGATGCGAAGGGAACCGAATTTACACAAACGATATGATGAACCCCTACAAAAACCCGAAAGCCTTTGTGAATAATGATCTAGTGAGAAATATATAGCCAAATGTCTTCGTTGATACATCGAGATATGCTATTTACTTTGTTTCCCTGCTACCAATTATTCGTGTATTAGTGTATTGATCAAAGAGTTTGTTACAAATGTTCTATTGAATAACACTCATTTCCAAAATAAGTCATAATTTCACTATGTATAGTGAAACCAGAAATAGAATCAAATGGACTTGAGGAAGTTTTTCATGTTTTTTAGTGTCGGATTTCCATTTAAAAATAACAGTTTTTAATATGACCTTATAGTTGGTGTATTCATCTATTTACATGTCAACAAAGCATACAATGCGCCCGTCACTAGGCACTTTTTTACCGGATGACATTAGTTAATGATATTTGTCACATATATAGAATATATAGTGAACTGACTATCACCGTTCTTTTCTAAACTAACCGATAAAAAAAACTACTTTATATCAAATATATCTAAAGGACTTTTCCTAGATTTTCCTTAATTTATTTATATATTTATCCAATTTTTCTTAACTTCATATTTAGAAAATGGATTTGGTAGAAATAAATAGTTTGAGCCTCTGCCAGTAACAATATGCCATATTGTACATCAGTCATATATTAACGTTATCTTCTTGTCTGAATTTCACATTACCAGTCGTTAAAGCCTGACATCTGGTAAAGACACAGCTATGATGTGTTCTTTGGTAATGACATCAAAGTTTGGGGCCTGTTTATCGGCATAGCACAATATTCAATGTACTTCGTTGTAAAACATTTATTGGCAGGATAAAAGTTTGTGTATTAAAACCATATATCTCACATATTTTTAACTATGATTGGATCATTAAAAAGGATGAAAATTATATCTACCGGTATTGCAATTGTTACAAAAGTATCTTCCTAATACACTTCTACGTTTGCTTACAACAAATAAGGATTTGATTTTGACATTCAAACAAGGATGTTTGCTGTCATTTACTATTTGTGATGCATTCAGTTCATAGTTTGGGGAAAGTTTTTCTGTGTCGCTTTATATAATCCCAAAACATACATACTTTTCATTACTGTATGTCAAATGGAGAACAAAACGAAATATGATAAATGCTTGAACAATTGATGTTTCATTCGCTTTCAGTCAACCTCATATAATTACTTTTACTCTTTATTTAACATGTTAATTTGTTTCTCTTCAAACGAAATGTAAGAAACGCAACATTCCATCTACAAATGAACACAAATTCTATATATCAGAGTCTCCTGTTTAATTTCAATCGTGATTTGCATCAATTATTCTTGATCTTCACACATCCAAAATATGGAAACATTATTAAACGGAATGGACTGTATCAATACTACTGAATTCTAAAATTTTAAAATGCAACGATTTAACGTATGGGTTCTGTTTTATCCATTATAATCTTATATTCTATCACACATATGCGGTTTTATGTAAGAGCCATCATGTTATTCATTAAATCTGAAATATATTTGTCCTGGATGGAGATAACATGCAACAAATGATCAGTAAGAAACGTTACAGCTCATAATGAAATAGTCCGTAAAAAGCTTAAAGAGTCGCTTCTGAGAATAACTATGAAGCTTTGAAAGGGAAATTCTGCTAAGCGGTTCAGCACAATGACATATGTGTCAAAGAGCTATCGGGGGTAGACACGTGGCGGTGTGGTGCCTGTCGAAAAGGTAAGTACAATTTTACACGTATCTGTGACAATATTTTCATGTGTTATTTCTAGTTGTTAGTGTTCAGCGTGGCACTCGATATGATCATACACGTATTCAAATGGAAAATAATAGATAGGACGCTCGATCATTAAAGTGTAATCGTCAGACTTTTGTGATATAATGAGGTTGTGTAACAAATCCATGTCATAACCTGACAATGTCCCCTACTATGTAAAGGCCACCCGCGACGTGAGGTATGTTATCACACCCCGATACATTGCCACATACCATCAGAATAAAGTCTTACCTTGGGAAGGGATGGGGAGCGAGGATGGAAGGTACCGGGCTGGATATGCCTGGTACTGAGACGTCGTTGGCGTCGTCCCCCGGGCAATGTCCTGTAGGGCGGTTGCCCCTGCCCCCGGTCGTCCAAGCACTGCGGAATGGGCGGCATCGAAACCTGTTTCGTACGTCCCAATAGCATTAGCACCAATAAGCCGAGCTCGATCCAGAGTAAAATCAAGTGGAGCGTCCATTATGTAAATATCCAAAGAGTTTTATTATCCATAAGCCCGGGTACAGTGGCCATTTCCTATCACACACTTCCAGTCTTCCATACCTACAATTCAAAACAACGCATTCATTAAAAATCTTTTATAAGTTGTATAGGATATATCTAATTATTGTTACGTTCAATAGAAAACAATCGTTGCCGTGAAAAGCATGTATCCGATGTGTTTCCTAAATGGTGTGACGAAAATAGAAGGAACGATTCGTTTCCTACAATCGGAGCAATGCTAAGTCTCTACACTGATTTTGGGGGCATTTGCATGCCATTTTAGACAAGCATAACAGTTCCTCGAATCAGTGCATTGGAATGGTACTCCTGATATAACTTCTGCCTGAAAAATCCGCAATTTGCAGACAACACAAAATAAGTATATGGTTTTAGCATACCTACGGTCTTCATTACACAACCGCACGCAAGTTAATGTAAGCCTCTTGTGTTCGGCCTTGAAAGCGATGTAAATAAATTACTGCCTTGCTCCGTGTTCAACACCAACCCGTCGTGCTGTTAACTTTCCGTGAAATACCCGGTATGAGAGAGGGAATTATCTGGTGTTATCCTCCATGCATAAACCCTGCTATGTAAAGTGGATTTTCCTCCATATAAATTTGATATCTTGCACATACTAGGTGTAGCGTCCCCGCAAGTGTCATACCTGTTTTTTCAATGAGTGTGATTGTAACAAGAACCTCAGCCGTAGCACATGTTGGCAATGTTGAATATTGAACAGGTATACCAAAATCATATCCTGCTCGTCACATCCTCAAACCTGAGAGTAGTAAATTACTGTTATGTGCCAGGTTACATTTTTACAGATTATTAACAAGGAAACATTTAACAAATTCACGGAAACACACCGATAATAAACCGACAGTCGAACCCAATATGGCCTATTCCGAGAACAGAACTTTGAGTAAATATCATCAGATTATTCAAATTCAGTTTAAACAGCATATACATACAAGTACCCAGTCGAACATCTAAAGAGGATTAAAAATTAAGTAAACCGACCAAGCTTCATCGCAGAAACAGTAAAATATTGATGTGTTCACCAAACAGCAACCAGCAAGTCCTAAAAGCGACTGAGTTCCATTTCCGAGAGGCAAACTACTAAATGCACCCTTCCTTTCAACCCCTGTTGTCAATTCGTTCCGAGTAAGTGTTTAGATTAGTGTGGGCATGTGTCGATGTAGGATGAACCCAGTATGATCATAACAAGTCTCTCCATCAGTTCTTCGTAGCTCCGATACTGGCTCCTCAATTTTAACCAATTTGCCAGAGTTATCAGCCAATCATTTCCTTGCTACATTTAGTTGACTGAATTAGCTTATCTAATACATCCTTACAATCCTTATTAATTCAAAAATTACAAGTCGATTGTATGTGATAGGACCGAATCGCTCGTTGTCTCACCCCCACCCCAACTCCAACCCGCATTACTGGAATGTCCAACAACATTACATATTGCGAGACGCCGTAATACTTTTCAATGCGGAGCAGTGACGACGTGTTGGACACCCAGTCAAACTCAGATCGAATCCACATTCTGCGCACTTTACCACGGACACTAGTTATATAGCAGAGGCCCTTACAGTGTGGGCATGCTAGTATTTCCATGTGATTGGTTCTTACATACTGCGCTAGTATATTGGTGTAAGTATTACTTTTTACTAATGACGGTATCACATGATAAATTAAGGGTGGGACTGCAGCAAACAGAAGACAAAGTCATCGGCTCACTATCGTTGGGCGTCTAATGATGGTCATATGCCTCTTTAAGAAGAAGAATCTTTAAGATAGTGTATGACAAAAAAGAGTGTGTCTTTTTAAATGTTTTATCTATGAGAGGTATGAAAAATTTAACGTAAAGGGCTTCGTTTATCAGGAACTAAAGAGCTCATCCAAAAACACAACCACATACGTATCTCGTCCCGATCTATGTCAAATTACCTGAATATAACATAACAACATTTTATCGTAACAATTCCCTGGATCAATGTTCATAACTATTTGTTCTTTCCAATACATAGCGGAACACTACACAAACTATCAAAAATTCAATACGTCCTTCAGTATACCATCGAAAGATGGATTTTGCGCTAAATATACAATTGTCGATTTCATACTTGCCAAAACTGAAATAAACACTAGTGCTATAATAAGGTGGAAACTATGATTTTGTTCTTTTTTTCACCTTGTTATTTTGTGAATTGGGTTTTTTAACATGTAAGCCAACAACAATATTTGTTTATCAAGTCTGTTATAAGTCCGTCACATTCAAATACTTTGCTAGTTGTTAATATAAACCAAGTAACCCTAAAAATTACAATGACCGAGAATAAATTGTAAAAAATATCAATGGAATGTGAAGAAATCAATACGAGAGTACATGTACATGCCTGAAAATATTACAAAATATATATTAACGAAATAACGCTACGATATATGATAAATATATTTTTTAAAGGTTTACCCATTGAATCAATTTATAAAAATATTCTATTATGTTAATACACACTGCAGTAAAACCTCAAATATATATCGAGATATATCAACAATGTTCATGATAAAACGTTTGGATAAATTAATTTTAATCGATTTAACAAATGTGAATGTGTGATTAGTTAATCAAAAATGAATAAATACCTTCAGTACGATCTGTTGAATAACGCGGATCATGATACGGAACTGTGGTACTTTTCACAGTGATCCTACAGAGACAATTTCGCAATACTTTTTAATTAACAGGTTTTCCACGTTTTAAGCTCTGGGTAAACATGGTGTTTGATTGTATGTGGACTTGCGTTCATTTGAATATATTGAAGGATTTTATGTAAATTTGTGTTTCAATTGAAAATTAAATACTTCCCGATGATTATGTACAAACAGGGTAACAGGATCGGATAGGTAAATAAGGAAACATATAATATTTCAAATAAAGACTTAATTTCTTAATTGGAAATTTCTCATATTTTTTTTATAAATATTTATCAATTTTGATATTCACGAGTGTAATAGCTGTTACTCGCCTACCACAAATACAATAATTGATATAAACCAAACGATTATCAACAAACTACAGATTCAAATATAAATATGCCTAAATCAGCGGTATATGATATGAATTGAGTACAGGAGAATAAAGTAGAAATGAGGAAATTGATATTGTAAACCTACTGTAGATATGAGTTACATTAATGTGTTAACATCCCAGCGTGTGTTACCGATGACGCACATCTACGCCGTGACTTTAGAAGCGCAATAAACAAAATCGACTTATTTTATTATAGAATTAGAATTGCAAATGCTTTGGTCATAATTTTCCTGGGTAAAACCAGTCTCAAAGATTCTTTTTAGCAGACTGTCATTATTTTCCGTATGATGGTTTTACCTGTAGATATTTAGAAAGTAGGCCAATTGTTGTTTTGAAAATGTTTTGTACAGTAATACACATACACACACAGGTACCGATGTGGATGTTTATATAAACAGTTTTTTGATACAAGAACACTTAAATTAGTTAATTAAAACTTAAAAACTTGAAACCCTTACCTTTAAAAACGATAATTCCATGAAAAAATCAACATTTATGTTGGGTGTGTAAAACCCCACTGTAGCCTGCATTACCAGGCGGGTTCTATCATGGCGGCTTGCTGTAGTGATCACGACACATTGAGTTATTGTTGGTGCGGGTTGTCTATCCGAGCTAAGCAAGCACGGCTGTGATTGGCTAGCCGCGAATCCCCTGTGGACATACTTATCTGCCTGTCCCGTACTTAGGTTTCTTAGTTGCCCGTGTAAACAAACATAACTGTCACGGCTTACGAGGAAGGGAGTGGTTATTTAGACCCAGAGAAAGACGTTGCTGACCTGGAAAAAAGTGTATTACCATTGTAAGCCGGCCAACCGGTCATGAACAGAAAATATGTGGATGTATTTTGAAAATACCCCTTGCTAGCAAGCTGAAAGGAAAAATGGCTGCCGGTGGTTGTGAGTAGATTGGTGTTGTCAATGGAGGAGAGATTCGGGGTCTGCCTGATTTATCATTCCGTACACTCTCATTTTACATATAATAAACTTCACGGAGATAAACTAGGGGATCTAGAAACCGTGTGTATTCACTTTTGATCACGTGTAAACATTGAGTGATTCAAGCTTTAATTCCAGTCTGAGGGACCTTCGACCCCTGCCTGGGCCAAATTTACATGGAATGGCAAGCAGAGGATATTAAATTGCTATGCAGCAACCTCTCCGGAAATAGATCGCGAGGACATATTTAATTCAAGGATTTCGTGCTATGTGTTTTGGCATGTGTTAGGACAGAGAATGTTATTTACATGTACGGTGAGTGTATACCAGCCTTAGGTGTATTTATATATGACCAAGGTAGATGTATATGTTTATGCTAATTTGGACTGCTCGTATGTGCTGTATGTGTGTGTGTGTCCATGGTGGGAACAGGGGTTGGCCGCGTGATACGTTATCGATGGAGTGCAGTTTCCTGATAACAACACAAGCCTTTCGGGTTGTGTCTCAGACCGGAGCTGCATCAGAACGCTCAGTATAGTTAGTATATTGTGTTTGAGCAAGATATATGTCAATCCTAAACTGTATAATTTAGAGATAGATCAAGAATAATTGTAGGGAATTAAATTCTGCCACGTAAACACACCGGGAATATAAATATCTGTTGTTCGTTTTCACCGGAAAAAAATAGAACAGTTCGATAAAAAAAGCCTAAAGCAAATTACAGATAATTTATTTGCAAATTCTAATAATTTAATAAAAGATTATTTTCCGGATACATATTAAAACGTTTTTATACCCCTATCATAATGTTTGTAATTTTACTGCATTCCTGGAGTAGGTTAAACGTTTTATTAGAATCGTACGTTTATATTTCTGTATTATGATACAATGTTAAAACACAATAAATCAAATAAACGAAAACGGCGTTAATCGACATAATTTAAGAAATAACATATCTTATTTTGGTTTCTTATAGATACTCAAAAATATATTTAAAGATACATTAAATATCTTTTCTATTTTTCTATTTCATTACGTCAGACGTTCTCAGAGGTAATTTGCGATTTTCCTATTTTATTTTAGCGACCTACTATGTGCAAGCTATAAAAGTGAAAACTTAAACAACTCATATAACGATTGAAACAGTGGATACATGCTTCTCCTTTCCGTATGATTTGTCGTTTGTTTATTTCAGGAGCCAATATTAATAAAATACATAATATTTCAGTTATAATTATTTCGTCACATTGATTTTATGTTAAATGTTAAAAATTCATAGTCAGGCATTACTTCTTATTTTGTTTTTAAGACATTTATATATTATTTTTCAATTCATCATAGGTTTGTAATTTAGTCGAAGACATTTTTTCTGGAAAAAAAACATTCCACAAGAGCTACATTACTGACCATGTTCATATTATATTAAGTGTGTAGTAATCAGAGTATTTGTGAAACTCTTAGTCAAAACAAAAATTAAACAAGACGGATTGCCTCGATGCCATTCTAAATTTAAGTATTAGTTTAATTTGATTAAAATCGATTCCGTATTTTGCATTTTGTTGACAAATGGTTTATGTTTATTAAATCGGAGTTTAAGCTGTCTGATATATTTAATCTGGAAATCCGGATATTAAACGTTGATTATTATTGTTAAACACTGCTGTCTATTATGTTAGATGGTAGACATATGAGTGTGTGGTACATGTATATTGCCGACAGTATCTACAACACAAAGCTACCTATATCATATTTACTAACATTGTCTCGACGTCATGCTATTATTATTTAAGAAAAAGCAATAAAGTTATCATTTTCTTTCAAACGAAATCAAAGGACAATAAAGCGTTATAAAAATTCTTTGATAATATGTTTAGTTTTAAAGAGGAAAACAAAGATTTTTGACTATTTTTGTGAGCGATAAATAATATGGAATATAGCATTTAACAATGATTTCAGATTTTACTATTTCCCTGATACGCAATGCTAGTTGAAGACATTTCACGGCTTAGATCGTCTTATATCTTCATGTATTGTTTTGCTTATGTCGAAGGAAATGATCCTTATGAAATGCCACAGCCAAACATTCTCTTTTAAGTTTTTATTTATTTGTTTATTTAGTTTTGTATATTTTGTTAATAAAACAACAACACTTAAATATTATTTTAACGATTCGACTAAGGAAATCTTACCCATACAGTACAAAGGCGCTATGTGTCTTACTAGCAATTTCCATCCATGCGCTAGTCAGCAACTAAACTGAATTAAAAACAATATGCATGCATTTTACTAGATTTAAAATAGGCGAGATAACTATCAAAATATTGTTTAAAATTATACTTGTCTCGTCATGTCTTAATATTAATTGAATTGAGTTGTGATTAAATAGCACTAGACGCCGAAAATAGTCGGCCGATAATAAAAGGATATACTCATGAAAACTCAGTGGAAAAAGGATTTCAGCGAAAACATAGTACATATTGTATCTATCATATCCATTTTTAGAAAACATGTAGCGACTTTTTATTATATAATGCACTGCTTAATATTACTTATGTAAATATCCATTACTTTAGAACGAATACGAATATTTTTCAGATAAAAAGCTCTCTGAATAAATCCATTAAAAATGTAAAATAGGAGTTGTAATATTTTAGAACAAGAAAGTTTGTCGTTTTGAAAAACAATTGTTTCCAAGCAATGACCGATTTTAGATATCCGGTTGTAACATGATGCGGGTTTGATGCTAATATATAAGACTATTCTAAAAGACATCATTCCATTATCGATATGCAATCGTTAGTCAGTTTGTAACCATCCCACTAACTGAACATGTGGTAACGTTTTATGAAAATATCAACACAAAACATCCGCCTCATTAAAAACGTTTACACCTTACGTACAGGCAATGGTTGTCGCCGATTTTCTCGTCATTAAACGGGTCAGAAATAAGTAGAAAATGGTGAATATTTACGCTGTAAACACAATGGTACGGGGTTTTTATTTTTTAACTGTATCGTGGCACATTACGAAGATAAGTGTTATCGTTCATGTGACTTGATATTTACAAATTTCATTTGAGAGATGAATATGATACAGTATAATCCCATTTTACGAAATATAACCAAAATGTTAAAATTGACTATAAACCTGTAAAAATAAATATTTGATTGTACTTGTACGTGACATCTCTTGCGTTGTAGTTTGGTAACACTTTGAATCTAATGTGTGGGGACTGTACACATATTTTATATCATTTGTGTGGGTAATTTATCAATACTTTACATCATTGGTGTGTGTTTTTTATAAATACTTTACATCATTGGTGTGTGGATTTTATACTTCATTTCACAGTTCACAGCCTTTATTGACCGATATCATCCATAATATAAGGCAATTATAACTATAGGTTATACAATAGATACGCATCCAGACGTATTAAAAGTGGTTTTGTTTTTCACCAATTGTGTATGTACAATGATATTGTTATAGTTATAATAATATGTTCGTGTTAGTGCCTATAAAGTGTTACATTATGATGTTGTCATAAATATTAAAGTAAATGTTATTGTCATTATTATGAAATATTATTGTCATCGATATCATATGTTATAATACTTTATTCAGTGGTGTAATATTGTCAGCATTATTATGATATTGTCTTTTTTATGTTATTGTTATTGCTATAAAGTGTTGTCAGTATTACAAAATGGTCGTCAGAACTATGATAATATGGTAAGTATATCATGATATTGAGTCGGTGATATAAAACTGTCATCAGTCATAAAATTCATTTTTTCAGTACTAAATATATCCTTTATATCGTCATTTATATTATTATGAAATAACAATGTCGTCAGTTTTATATATAACATTCATCTCAGTATTTTTAACAAAATGCCTTCTATATAAGGTTGTCAGTATTTAAAACGTCCTCTGTAAATTAATCTCTGTAATCTCTTTGTGGGATAGTTGACTTTACTTTTCCGTTTTATTTTTTTGTACATTACTTATTAAATGTTTATTAATATATTGAATAAACAGATTTGTAATAAATACATTTTGTAATGTTTTATTCCATCATCAATGTATCGTTGACTTTATCGTATGCAAATGTAAACTGTACCAATTAAGTATATTTAAAACCCGAAAACAAAGAGGCATATCAAATCAGCAAATGATAAAATAATCATTGCAAGCCAAAGCTTCTTATCAGTGGTTAAGTTATGAAACAAATTCGATAATGATTACAAAATGATAATATGTTAATTGTGTACAAGATCAAGCAAGTCAAATATAGTTTTCCTTTGTTGGAATAATAATTTCAATCGTCTTTCTATGCCTTTCTCCGAAGTTGGAATATGGGAGTATCGTATTGTGATTAACATGTAACAATTAAACATATTAAAACACATCACCGTCATTAAGTCATCACTGACATGGTAACAATGAAAACTTGCATTTAGAAGGACAAGCGACGAGAAAACGTCGGTAACTCGAAGACACTGGGCAAATCTTATGGATTCTCTTCAGATATCAACTAGTTAGCATGAATTGGTATATCAAAGGTTATTTCACATTTATGAAATATACATAGACACTCAATGTTATAATTCCGATATCATATAGACTGTGTATATGTAATCGTCTGTTGGTGCATTGTCGTTACTTGATAAACTGTGTAGGGTTTTGATATATCCAGGTTTCCGTTTGGTATGTACAATTTTGCTATTGGTATATACTGCGTCACATACATAGTACGTCTATATCAGTTCACGTTTGGAATACTGGGTCACGTTTTGGCATATATGCCATGGTATATACAGGTTAACCTTTGTTATTGGAGATTTGGTAAATAAGACGATAAGTATACAGGATGATAGATGTTTGTACTCTATTACTCTACACACTCCCCGTAATCCACCATGATAAAAAGTAATAGTTAAGGTAAGCGAAAATACCAACCACCAATACATCGATAGCATACACAATGTGGAACTACCCGTTACATTGACTACAGACACGGTAAAATCGGATGTGCTAATATACGTTTCTGGTACAAATTATTATTACTGTAATTGCATATCTAGCATGATTTCATAAAAGATACTTATTATGAATGAAATCAAAGCTGGGTTTCAATTAAATATCGAAACTAGAAAACGTGTGGAGAACAAATTTAAACTAAAAAATTAAAACGTTGTCAAATCAGATTTTGAAGATGGATGAATACAATTAGACACGCATCGACAAGAACCAGATTATAATTTGTTCTAGGCCTACATTAAAAGTACGAACATCGAGCTGTCTAATACTGAAATGTTACGTAGAAAAAGTATCCCACAGTGTCAACACTAAAGTACAAAATCGTAATTTTAACTCTTTAGTTACCAAAAGGTCACAACTGGAACTGCGAAGAAACCAAAACGAGGTTGAGAAGAAATGCCGTAAGTGATGTCTACTAATATCTTTCCCCTATGTTGGGTGTCAGGTGTTCCAAAGGCTAATCGTATCCGGCACCACATGTGTGGCTCGTCATGTCTCATGTCACCTCCGGGACTACAAGTCGGTCACCAGCTATTAACCCACAACTTAATAATTAATAGGAACTGGATACATCGTTTGGAGGTGGGGTGATTTGAGATGACTAGATTATAAGTGAAACTGCATGTATTTTTTAAATGACTAAAATTGACATTTTTCAAAATCATTTGATATCTTCAATATCATAATTTGGGTGATTCCTTTTTTCATTTGATTCTTCAGCCATTTAAAATAAGTGATATTGAATCAGCTACTAAGCGATTAAGTAAAAAACAATATTTCAAATAATAAAAAACATAAGTATCACTTTTTGTGTAAAATATAGTTAGATCGGACTTTTAGAGTCATAATTAACAAGTTTGTTTGTTATCTACGTTCACTGCCTACAAACTAATATAGCAGTATATTTATCACAAATGACAATTAAACATTTCCGTTTAACAGGTTTCCGTTCATTATTACACAAGAATACAGGATGTTCCAGCAATAAAGTCAGTATAATATACAACACGAGACACGTGTGATCAGCATAGTTCCAAACCAGTATCATCCATTTGACACTCACATTTCATATTTACGAATCCTAGTAGCATATCCTATGAAATACTCGTATCAATACAACGAACACATCGCTCGTACATACGTCGAACTAGTTACGAATGCTAACCATAAGGTAGTCCTGTCGGCGTGCTATGTCTGTTTTAAAGTAGACAATTGAGAGGTAAAAGTCATTTCTCCTAATTAATCAGATTAACGTAGACAACGATACGTTTACCTCACCTATACCAAGTGTTTCTGTTCTTGACCGGAAGTAACGACAACGAGAACGACCTACAGTATAAATGTACAAGAAATTTCCATTTCTGGACTAAGCATAAATTATGATAGCTCATCTCTACCGCAAATAATAAAGTATTGGGAACTACAGGTATACACACATGAGCGACGACGGCCCGTTCCAGAGCTAATAAATCAGCGATTATTACAGGCTCCTTCCTAAATCTCCGTATCACGATCTGACAGAGGAACAGTGTGTACAAGGTAACACGCGCTATTGGCCACGTCCGTTTCGGATGACTTGATTCTAACGCCTTTACGGGTATATCTCCGGCATGCGCTGTAATGATGTTGACAAGCGATGAATGTCCTTGTCAGGATTCTGGATCGTGTTTGGAACGGTTTAAAGCCACCCGCATCAACACGACTATGTCCATTAGGTGCGGGTAATTCCTTTATTGCGCATGTGCTGCACTCCTTAAAGAGTGAAATTGACAACAAACCTATAAAAAGTGCTGCCTAAATAGCAAAAGACTTCCATGAATAACATTACAGAAGATTTAATGAAATCCTTTCATCAGTAATCATCGTTTGACGATCATTGCCAAAAATGTAACTCATGCAGTCTTGCGATCATACTCAAAGATTTGTTTTCCTTATTTCTGTAGGAAATTTGTCAGGTCGGGTTCAAGTCATTCAAATGGAATAGCTTGGTTCATTCCTCAAAGGAGACGTGATTGTAGTTATTGACATCGACATTTCAACAGTCCATTCAACAGTCCAACCAAATACAATGTTACGTCTGAGGACGTTGTAGCATTTCTAGAGCAACCTGGAGCTTAAGATTTAGTTTTTATCCATTCTGAATTCGAATTATGGTTTTGTTGACACTTAATAATTATCTTGTTGTTTACTGCATGGACTACACTAAATTAACTATAAAACGAATATTACGAGAGGATTCAACTAAAACTAGCATGAAGACTTCATACAGTTATTGATGATTTGACACAAATTCATTTTTAAGCTTGATCCTACGGGCAAAAGTTTCGTGATGATTTCCTACAGTTGTCTCACCCAAATGGTTCCAACCTTTTCAACTACCAGCAAGCATTGCTTGTAACAGCAGAATTTAGATGTCCTTAAATAACCCATTTCCATACAACTATGGCGAAACCGGGCACATAAAAAGGCCCGTAATGATTTCATAGAGTTTGTTTAACCCAAATGTTCCAAGCTTTCCAACTACAAGCAAACGTTTCAACAGCAGAATTTCGATGACATCAAAATAATTCATTTCCATACAGCTATGGCACAACTTTGCACGTGGTTACTTACTAATTTATTATTGTCCAAATTGTTAAGCTACAGGAGAGCTTTTCATGAATGTGTTTTAAAGTTTTGAGAGACTCTTACCATCAGCATGTACATTTTTAGGTTCAAATGGATTCCGTGAAGACTACGCCAGACGACGGCAAAACGAGAACTAAGTCTATCAGGTCCATCATTCTAAAACGAATTTTCAGCTTGAAATTCAAAATGAAAACCAATCAAAAGTGTGTATTTCTTGATAACGATGTCAAAACCATACTCAATGATTGTATGTTTTGTCGGCTAACATGACAAAAAGGAACTTGATCCTTGTCGGACAATATTGCAATTCCTGTTCGCAAAAACACTTGGCTTGACTTTTAACATAGACGACCCTTCTTGATAATTTTCAAAAGTTTCAAAAGAGGAAGTACTCGATGATCCCGAACCTGTATAACAACCTTTCCTTATACTGATTAATGAACATATATACGGACCTGCCTTGTTTGTATAAAATTCCAAAACTTACAAGAGATCCTTATCAACAGTGGTTTATCGTTGGCTCTGCTACATTATCATTGTGCATGTAGTTGCCTTAGCCAAGCCATCAATTTAAACCAAACTTCCTTTTCAATAACTTTTTTCTGCATAAATGTTTGGCGTCTAAACAATGTACACGTCCATACCTCATACGAAGCTGAAGGAACATCTTCGTTCACTGATTACGAGAGTTTTCTTTTTAAAGAATTGCAAATGGCTATAAATGTATGTTGTTGTGAATGTTTAGAGGAAATTTTATAAACACAACAAAGGGCAAATGAAATATGCAAAGGATGAACACATGGGAATTATTGAAATTCCTGGTTAGAAATGAGGCTTGTTGTGTTCGGTAGTAAGAATGTATCAAGCAAAAAGTTGACAGACCAACGCAAACAATTTGTGTGCTTGTATCTTAGTCGACTTGCTTTTGTTTGCATATGATGAAGCTAAACTTATCTCAGAGCACATCAGGACTGGAGGTATATATACTACAAGTCCTTCAATTTCACTTTCAGATAAATCGACGATGTGTTGTCATTAAACACGATTTAGTTTTTCTGACCGTGAACATTCCCTTTCTCGATAGTAATACACGTTGAAATAGATTCCATGTTCATGTACACACTCTGCACATCACACTTTCCGTTGTAGGGATGTTCACCCATCCGGAACAATAAGTCTGCTTCCCCCTGTATTGTTCAATGTTCTCGTTGTAATTTTTTCCCTAGTTTTATCGATTTTTAATTCGAGTACAACTTTACCCAAAACTTCAACCTATTAGGTGATAAAAATGTTGAAAATGATACCTTTGTATTAATGTGTGAAAT